TGCGAAAGCTCGGGTTAGCGCTTCCGCAGACATGGACCAGCCAACGCCAAGCACTCATCGCAATCGCCACCGCATGGGCTTTGCAAGCCAAGTCGCGGGTGGGTGGGCGCGACGTGTGCAAGGCCATGGGAAGCGTCAGCTCGTTTGTTAAAATCTCTTGCACCACGCAGATTCTACTTTCTAAGATAGACTCTGTCCCCCCCCACCCACCCCCGGGATTACCGGCGCCCCGTTTTTCCATTGAAAATTAAATGCGGTTTTGCCCCATCGCCCATCCTAAATACGAACTCGCTATACCTGTACATATATATATGTGTATATATAGATATATAGATATATATATATATATATATATATATATATTATATATATATATGTATGTATGTAGGTTATATATATTATTATATATGTATATAATATATATATATATATATATATATATATATATTCCTAATTATATATGGTTATAGGGCCGGGGACCCCGGAAAAAAACACCCCCCCACCCCCACGAATTTGGCCCACCCCGGGATTTTCGCACAGCTTTCCAGACGATCAGGGAGGACTTCAGGAGAGCCCCAGAGGGCTCCGGACGTTCCGGCGCGCTCCCGAAACGACCTCAGAGAGCCCCAAGACGGTTTACGACGACCCCAAAGGAGCCGTCCTAGCGTCAAAAATCGCTCCAAAACGCCCCAAGATCCCTCCAAGAGCCGTCCTAGCCCCAAAGATCGCTCCAAAACGCCCCAAGAGGCCTCCAAGAAGCTTCCCCACAGGGCCCGAAGAGGCGAATATCATTGTTTTTGTTCAATAGTTTCTGAAGGTTTTCCCCGCTTCCCATGTATCCGGACCAAGGCAGCCCAAGACAGGGCCAAGAGGCCCCAATGCTCATCACAACACGGTCCCCGAGGCCCCCAAAGGGTCCCAAAAAGGCCCAAAAGAACCCCTAGACAGCCCAAGAGGGCACGAAAGCGGCCCCACAAGGCCCCAAGACGGCCCCAAGAGAGCCCCAGGACCGCCCCAAGAGACTCCCGAGAAGGCCCCAACAGACCCACAAGAAAGCCCCAAGACGGGCGAAGGCCTCCAAGATGCCCCAAAACGGCCCAGACAGAACACAAGACGGCCCAAGAGGGCCCCGGAAGGCCCCAAAAGGGCCCCCAAGAAGGCCCAAAGAGGCAACATCCACTGATACGACTCAGGCTTCTCATTTGTTCCCCTTCTGCGTTTCGGTTCGGCGAACCTAAACGCACCCAGTAGATTCCCAGGCTTCTTCCATAATATCCCAAAGGACAAGCGACGTCCCGCATGCCCATTTGCGCCTGAGACCTCTTCGCAACGTCGCGGTCGGATATGCTTTGCTGCGTAGTGATCTGGTTCGCCCGCCCCTGAAACATCCTCATAACTCTGACGCGAGATATTGCCTCCGCAGCAGTGTTCAGCCCACTTTCGCCTGAGAAATCCTCGCAACTCTGACCTCGGCGGCGCCCTACCCCACGGTGGTCCGGCCACTTTCGCATGCGACACCCTCGCCATTCTGCGTCCAGGGATGTCCTAACCTTGCGGTGTTCAGGTAGGTCAGTTTCGCCAGAACCATCCTCGCAACTTTCGGTTCCGAGGCGCCCTGAGCTGAGGAACTCCGACCACTGTGGCTTGAGACCACCTCCGAACTCTGACCTCGAAGAAGCCCTGCCCCAATCTGGTCCAGCCACTTCCGCTATGAGACTTCTTCGCAACTCTACGTTCCAGAATCCTTGAGCTGAGGTGGTCCGGCCGGTTTCGCTATAAACATTCTCGCAGCTGTGGATTCCGAGATGCCCTGCCCAATGGTAGTCCCGCCACAATCCCCTGAGACATCCTCGCAATTCTGCGTTCCGATATGCCCTGAGCCGAGGTGTTCACGCCATTTTCGTTTCAGACATCCTCGCAACTCTGAGTTCTGGTATGTCCTGAGAGGAGGTGTTCAAGCCATCTTCGCTCGGAACGTCATCGCAACGCTGACCTCGGCGATGCACTGTCCCATGGTAGTCTGGCCACTTTCGTTTGTCCAACGCGGACATCGGCCATGCATTGTCGCATTGACACATGTGCATGCGCACCCGTAGTGTTATATATAGCGTGCACCGACAAACACATACGAGTTTCCCAAACATATACATACCCATACACGCGGAACGTGCATGCGCGTGCGCGTGTGTACATGCATGCGCGAATGTACGCACGCACGCACTCTATTTGCGTGCGAAACTCAGGGGGCCAAGGTGCATGGCGCGCAGCGCCAATGCAGTCTTGTATGTATGTGTGTATATATGTGTGTGTGCGTGCACTTGCTTATCAAAAGTCATCAGTTGTCACGAGTCCATTGCCCCCTCAAAAAAAGGAACAAACTGCGCGCGCACGCATCGTCGCGCGCACGCCTACATCCTTCAAAACCCTTCGGCCTCGTGAGGGTTTCCAAATCGAATGTCAAAAAACACAAATAAAAACACATTGTTTCGCAACGCGGGTTTTCCCAACCGATACAATAAAACAACAACAACAACAACAACAACAACAACAACAACAACACAACGTACGCGCGCGTTCTTGCCAATCCTGAAGAAAGCCAAACGCTCGTTCCACATTTTCATGACATTAAACCAAAGAGGCTTCGCGCGCGCGCATGTCGAAATCGTTCGAACGCCGGCGCGCGTGCTGGGATGGCGCAATTCGCGTCAGAAAAACCATGCGGGCCACTATCGCGCGTCTGCCGCGCGCGCGCATGTCGAACTCTTTACAAAACCTCCATCACGGACGCGAAGACACCGTCATCGTCGTCGGCGTTATCAGCATCGGCGCCGCCACTGGCTGCCCCGTCGTCGCTGCCAGCATCGTCGCCAACATCGCTGCTATAATTCATCGCGTCAACCGTTGCCGACGTTGCCATGATACCGCGCCCGCCCAAACCGCCATCTCGCACTGAAGTGCCGGCCGAGATGTGCCGAGCGGTCAACGCCACCGCGTTCGCGTCGATCGTGCCAAATTAGCTGGCCGCTGCGCGCGCGAGCATGCGCGGGTCACTGCAGCCGCAGAAATGCACCAGCCAACGCCAAAAACTCATCGCAATCGCTGCCGCATGGGTTTTGCAAACCACGTTTCGGGTGGGCGGGTGGCACGATTGCGCGAGCAGTGGAGTCGACAACTTCATGTTCGGCAACATGAAATCCTTCCTAAAAAGACAACAGACACTACCCCCCCCCCGCCGGGTCTATCGACCCACCTTTTCGCTTCTTCGAATTGCAATGTTCATCGATTCTGCCCCATCGCCCATCCGAAATACGAATTCAGAACATCACAACCGAGAGGGTATCGACCTCCTTCCTCCCGCCACCCTTTGCGAACAAATATGCGCGCACATCCGTTCATCAAAAATCACCCCTTGCAACAAATGAGACAGAGTGCACACGCGCGCGCCGTCGCGCGCGCATGCCGAAATTCATCAAAAACTCTCGGTTTCGGAAGGCTTTCATAATCGAGCTTCGCAACGCGATGTTCAAAATAAAGCGTGTGCGCGCGCTCTGGCGAATCCTTAAGAAAACCATTGGTTGTTTCAACACTATCAGAAAATACTACCACACGGGCTTCGCGCGCGCATGTCGAAATCGTTCGAACGCCCTTGCGCGCATGTCGTCGCGAGAATCCTTTTACAACAGATGCGACGGAGTGCACGCGCGCGTCGTCGCGCGCGCATGCCGGAATCCTTGAAAAAAACCGTTGGTTGCGAAACGATATCAAAACCGAATGTCCAAACAACATTCAAAAACACAGGGTTTCGCAACATCAGTTTTCAAGAAAAACTTGCGCACGCGCTTGCGAATTATTGAAAAAAACACTCATTGTTTAACATATTCATAGAATTCTGCCAAACAGGCCTCTGGCGCCGCATGCCGACATCGTTCGCACGCCCTTGCGCGCGTGCTGGGGGGGGCACCATCCGTGTCAAATACAACCATGCGGGCCACTCTCGCGCGCCGGCCGCGCGCGCATGTCGAACTCTTTCCAAAACGTTCATCGCCGACGCGAGGACACCGTCATCGTCGTCGGCGTGAGAAGCATCGGCGCCCGTACTGGCCGCGCCTTCGTCGGTGTGAACATCGTCACCAGCATCGCTAGTATCACCACCATATCTACCGTAGTCGGCGTTGCCATGATACCGCGCCCGCCCAAGTCGCCGACTCGCAGTGAAGTGCCCGCTGGGATGCGCCCAGCGGTCAGCGCCACCGCGGCCGCGTCGGTGGCGCCAAAATGGCTGGCCGCTGCGCGCGCGTGCTCGGGTTGGCGCGGCCGCAGAGATGCACCAGCCAACGCCAAGCATGCATCGCAATCGCCAAAGCACGGGTCTTGTAAACCAAGTTGCGGGTGGGTTGGTGGGATGTTTGCAAGAGCATGGGATGTGTCAAATCATTGGTAGAAATTAATTACACCACATAGACTGCCCCTCTTACAATGCTAGAGGCCCATACGAGCTGGCTACCACTCCATCCTCAGCTATGTCAATCCAGGGGCCGAAAACAAGCCCCGAGGGGGGTCCAAACAGGCCCCCCGAAGAGAGTCAAAGCAGGCCCCCCCCGAAGGACGCCAAAGAGGCCCCAAGAGGCCCCAAAGAGACCCCCAAGAGGCACCCAAAGATGCCCCAAGAGACTCTGAAGACCGCCAAGAGGCCCTCGCCTCCAAGAGGCCCCCGAGGCTCCCGAAGATCCAAGAGCCGCCAGGAGGCCCACGAGACGCCCTAACAGGCCTCCAAGAGACCCCAAGAGGCATCCCAAGAGACTCCACGGGGCATCCAAGAAGCCTCTTGTCCACAGGGGCTCCCCGAGCTCTCCAGGTGATGCTTGGCTCCCCGGATAAGGGCAGCTCCCCTGGGCATCGTTCCTGGATGAGCTGGTGGGGATACGCTAAGCGTCAAGAATTCAAACTCGTTTCTGCTACGCTGTTGCACAGGCACGGTGGCAAGGGTTGCCGCAGGCAACTGGATAGTGGATCCACGAGCTGACCACTGCATCTGGAACGCACGTCACCGGCAATCTGCTGGGAACCAGATGAAAACAAATGGCATATTCGCTGCAGCCAACGCCTGGCCGACTGAGGGTTAGATAGTGAAGGTAGCTATACATGGCGCCGCTCAAGACAAATGCAGTGACATCGTCTTCGCCTTCCTCGATGACCTCGGTGCATTCGTGAAGGTGGTGGAGGTGTCGTTCAGCAGGTGTCCTAGGGCTGTCGTTTCCATCCTCTTCCGCGTCATCGATTACCCCCTCTTCGCTATACCAGGGGCGTTTGCGGAGAATGTGCAGTAGCCAGCAGAGCAGACGGATCATTAGAACCAGACCTAAGATCATTATGATGAAAAGGGCATCGTGGGACTGGCCATCTGAAAAATAATCAAGCACCACCGCGATCAAACTGTCGCTCAACACAAAGCCACAAAAGCCTGCAAGGTGCGGCACGAGAAGCTTTGCGACGTTGAACCACGTGTGGAGTTCCTTCAGGTTCTGGTAGGTGCTGCGGCAACACCAGGAAATTGAGGCAAGAAAACAAGGAAACAGTGCCATGTCTATGCCTAGATGCGTCTCGTGGCTCAGCTCCTTGATGCCCAGGCCCCTGGGCGGATCACCTGCGACGATCTGGTTGAAGACAAAACCCTCGATCATCTTGAAAATGGTCATGGCGCAGAATATCGACACGCTAACGGAAAGCATCCTGTGCGCGGCCATGCGGATATCGGGGTCGTTCCTGGGAGGGAGGAATTGTCCCACCTGCCTGCCTTCCCTTCCCTGCTCACTCCTACGCCCCCTCCCCCTTCCAAGGAGAGAAGCACCTCACGCTCCGTCCCCAGCGGACGAGAGAGCAGGCGAGAAAAGCCGAGGTAGGACCTGCATTGTCTTACATCGCAAGCATTATCTCACATCGCCTCAAAACTGGGGGCATCTGAAAAAAGTGCTGTTCAGACTCTGGGGCGCCCCCAGACTCTGGGGGTTGGGGGTTGCTCCGACTTTGTCTCTCGTTGTCCGACTGTGTCTCCTCGCTCATACCCCCTGCCTCCTTCTCCTGGTCCTCCTCCCTGTTTCTCTTCCTACTCCCTCTTCGCCTGCTTTTCCCAGTCCTTTTCTTCCTATCCTCCTCCTCCTCCTCCTCCTCCTCCTCCTCCTCCTCCTCCTCCTCCTCGCCCCCAGTGCGCCCAGGAGGCTTTCAAGATGGCCCCATGACGGCCCAGGAGGCCCCAAAGACGGCCCCAAGAGGCCTCTAAGACGCCCAATATGGCCTCCAAGACGGCCCTGAAGCGTCTCAAGAGGACCCCACATCGGTTCAGAGAGGCCCCCAAGACGGCTTCCGACGGCGTCAGACCCGTCAGACGGGCTAGGAACGATTTAAGACTGCCAAGGAGAGGCCCCCAAGACGCCCCCACGGCCCCCAAGAGGCCTAAGGAGGCCCCCAAGAGGCTTCCGAGAGGCCCCCCGGGAAGCCCCCAGGAGGCCCCACAAGAGTGCCCCAAGAGGCTCCCAAGAGGCTTCCTCCTCCTCCTCCTCCTCCTCCTTCTCCTCCTCCTTGTCATCCTCTTCCTCCCTCTCCTGATCCTCCCCCTCAGCCTCCCCCAAGCGTTCCCCGAAGAGTTTCCGGAGCGGCTGGGGGAATACATAATCAGATAGCTTGGCCAAGCTGGGGCCCAACGTTTGGCCACATAGGCGCTTCTCAAAAAGGCTGGGGGCGGCGGTGATTCGCCGTAGGCGTCTTGGATCCGCCGCCCCCTGTGCTTGCCACAGGGTTGGACGGCGTGCCAGACATTTTGCTGAGATTCTGATTTTCAAACCCTTCCCAGTGGCCTTCGGCCCAGACCGCCTGCCCCTCGGAAGGACCAGAAGGTGTGGCCCACATCGCCACCAAGACGGCCCAAACGGCCCAATATGGTCACCAAGATGCCTCCAAGGCGGCTAGGATCGCTCCAAGAGAGCCCAAGACGGCTCCAATATGTCTCCAAGACGGCCCAAGATGCACCCGAGGCGTCCAAGATGGCCCCAAGATGGCCCAGGACGGCCCCAAAGGCCCCCAGGAGGCTTTTAATGCAGTCCAAGAAGCCTCCAAAGGGATCTGCAGGAAGGCCCGAAGAGGCCAAGACAGCTGATTTCCCGTGGGCTCTTGATGGATTTTGACGTTTTCGGCCTGCCGACGGCCCAATGCCGCCGAAGAGACCCCCAAGATGGCCCCAAGAGCGCCCAAGAGGCCTCCAAGACGGCCCCATGACGGCCTCCAGACGGTCCAAGAGGCCCCCAAGGCGCCTCCAAGACGGCCCACGAGAATTCCAAGGCGCCCACGATGGCCTTCAAGACGGCTCCAAAACGTCCAAGATGGCAACGATACGATTCGACATAGCCCCAGGATGTCCCAAGACAGCCCCAGAGGGCCCCAAGGGGATCCAAGGGGCCTCCTAGACAGTCTAGGAAGTCTTCAAGAGGACCTCCAGGAGAGCCCGAAATGCCCAAATGGTTGTATTTATTCCCTTCAATTGTTGAATAATTTGGGCGCGTTTTCTTTTTCGGCTGTCCGACGGCCCAAGATGTCCACAAGATGGTCCCAAGACGGCCCAAGCTGACTTCAAGATGGCCCCAAAAGGGCCCAAAGGGCGAGGAAACAGTCCAAGAGGAAGAGCAAGAGGAAAGGACGGAATCAGAGGCCCGAAGCGGCTCCGAGAAGCCTGCAGCTCAGCGCGGGCTCGTCTGCGGACGCCCTTGCCCCCCCCAGGAAAAACATATCACCCCGAGGCCCGGTGATGTTTTGTGGGGCCGCCATCTCAAAGCCCCACGGCCAGCTTTTGGGTCGAGGAGGAGGAGGGGCAGGAGGACGAGGAGGTGATCAAGAGGAACCAGAGGAGCAGGAGCAGCAGGAGGACGAGGAGTTTGAGCAAGGGGTCAAGGACGGAATGATAGGCCCGAAGCGGCTCCGAGACCAGACCGCGCTGAGCTGCAGGGTTTTCGGAACCGCTTAAGGCCTCTCATTTCGTTCTTGTCCCCCTGCTCAACCTCCTCGTCCTCCTGCTCCTGATTCTCCTGGTTTTCGTCTTGATCAACGTCCTCGTCCTCCTGCTCCTCTTCTTCCTCGAGCCGGCCGTGGGGCCTTGAAAGGGCGGGCCGAAAAAAAGTCACCGGGGGCCGAGCTGCAGGCTTCTCGGAGCCGATGCGGCCAAAAAAAGGTTGCCCTGCAGGCTGTCTCGGAGCCGCTGCGCCGAAAGAAGTACACTTTGTCGGTTTAACTACTAGGTCGCTTTGTCGGCTGATTTCGGGCGCGTCGTCGTCGTGGTCGTCGTTGTCATCGTCGTCGTCGTGGTCGTCGTCGTCGCCACCATCGTCGTGGTCGTCGTCGTCGTTGTCGTCGTCGTCGTCGTCGTCGTCGTCGTCGTCGTCGTTGTCGTCGCCGTCCATAAGATGGCCCCGAGAGGGCCCCAAGAGGGCCCCAAGAGGGCTCCAAGAGGGCCCTCTTGGAGCCCTCCTGGGCCCCTGGTTGGCCCATGAGATGGCTCCAAGAGGGCCCTAAGAGTGCCCCAAGAGGGCCCCAAGAGGGCCCCAAGAGGGCCCCAAGAGGGCCCCAAGAGGGCGCCAAGAAGGCCCCGGGAATTATGTACCAATCCAGCGGCCGCTGGTACATAACTCCTGAATCGTCTTGGGACCCTCTGAGGGCCCTCTCGGAGCCCTCTCGGACCCTTGGTTGGCCCTATAGGGCCCCAAGAGTGCCCCAAGAGGGCCCCAAGAGGGCGCCAAGAGGGCCCCAAGAGGGCGCCAAGAGGGCCCCAAGAAGGCCCCAGGAATTATGTACCAACCCAGCGGCCGCTGGTACATCACTCCTGGGGCTCCTCCTCCTCCTCCTCGGCGACGACGACGACGAGGAGGTGTAAACGCACCCTTACCCAGCCCCTGCAGGACCAGGCAGCGATACTTAGATCAAATTTCCTGGCCCCTGTTTCGACCCCAGAGCTCTCGACCCCGTCCAGGAGCTCCCGACCCCAACCCGGAGCTTTCGCCCCCATCCTGGAGCTCTCGACCCGCAGACGACGGCGACGACGACGACGACGACGACGCCTCGACCTGGAGTGGTAAGTTTTGCTGCTGCTTTTCTCCAGGGTTTTGGAGCCCTCGGGGCCCGGGGGGGGCCCCGAAATGGATCCGAAGCCTCAAATTTTTCCGGCCCACGACCGACGACCGGCGACAACGACGACGACGACCACGACGGGCATGAGTTACTTGGCGCCCCCCCTTAGGAGCATCGGGTAACTGGGGGGTGCGCTCCACACCCCCCACTTACCCGGTGTCCCCCGGGGGACATCGGGTAACTCGACCTTGCAGGGGGGGGTGTTAGGCACGGGTTACCCGGTGGCGAGGGGGGGGCATCGGGTAACTCGACCTTGCACGGGGGGGAGTCGGGCATGAGTTACCCGGTGTCCCCTGGGGGACATCGGGTAAGCGGGGGGTGCGCTCCACACCCCCCACTTACCCGGTGTCCCCCGAGGGGCGTCGAGTAAGTCGACCTTGCAAGGGGCGCATTCGGCATTATTCAGTAAACCGGTGGACCCCCATGGGACATCGGAGTTACCCGGTGGTCCCCGTGGGACATCGGCCCGTGGGACATCGGAGTTACCCGGTGTCCCCCGGGGACATCGGGTAACTCGACATTGCAAGGGGGGTCTGGGCATGGTTACCCGGTGGCCTCCCGTGAGACGGAGTTACCCGGTGTCCCCCGTGGGACATCGGAGTTACCCGGTGGTCCCCGTGGGACATCGGCCCGTGGGACATCGGAGTTACCCGGTGTCCCCCGGGGGACATCGGAGTTACCCGGTGGTCCCCGTGGGACATCGGCCCGTGGGACATCGGAGTTACCCGGTGTCCCTCGTGGGACATCGGAGTTACCCGGTGGTCCCCGTGGGACATCGGCCCGTGGGACATAGGAGTTACCCGGTGTCCCCCGGGGGAAATCGGGTAACTCGACCTTGCAAGGGGGGGTCTGGGCACGATTTACCTGGTGCCCCCCCGTGGGACATCGGGGTTACCCGGTGTCCCCGTGGGACATCGGAGTTACCCGGTGGTCCCCGTGGGACATCGGCCCGTGGGACATCGGAGTTACCCGGTGTCCCCCGTGGGACGTCGGAATTACCCGGTGGTCCCCGTGGGACATCGGCCCGTGGGACATCGGAGTTACCCGGTATCCCCCGTGGGACATCGGAGTTACCCGGTGGTCCCCGTGGGACATCGGCCCATAAGATGGCTCCAAGGGGTCCCTAAGACTGGGCTGGTACATAACTCCTAGGGCCCTGTTGGGGCCCTCTGAGTGCCCTCTTGGAGCCCTCTTGGGCCCCTGGTTGGCCCTAGGAGGGCCCCAAGAAGGCCCCAGGAATTATGTACCAATCCAGCGGCCGCTGGTACATAATTCCTGGGGCCCTCTTAGGGCCCTCTGAGGGCCCTCTTGGAACCCTCTTGGGCCCCTGGTTGGCCCTAAGAGGGCCCCAAGAAGGCCCCAGGAATTATGTACCAACCCAGCGGCCGCTGGTACATCACTCTTGGGGCCCTCTTAGGGCCCTCTGAGGGCCCTCTTGGAGCCCTCTTGGGGCCCGGGTTGGCCCTAAGAGGGCCCCAAGAGGGCCCCAAGAGGGCTCCAAGAGGGCCCCAGGAATTATGTACCAACCCAGCGGCCGCTGGTACATAACTCCTGAACCCTCTTGGGGCCCTCTTGGAGCCCTCTTGGGCCCCTTGTTGGCCCACATGATGGCTCCAAGAAGGCCCTAAGAGGGCCCCCAAACGGGCCCAAGAGGGGCCCAAGAGAGGCCTCTGAAACCGCTAGTAGGTGTCATCGATCAGCGCGTCTGGATGAGACCTCTCAGTGGGGCGCGTCTTGGAGCCCTCTTGGGGCCCTCTAGAGCCCCCTGGGTGCTCCCAAAAAGGTTCCAAGGGACATCCGAAGGGGTGGAGGGGGAGTTGGACGGGGAGTGGAGGGGGAGGTGGAGGGGGGCTGAGGTGGGTGGTGGAGGGGGGGGTGGAGGGGGGGTGGGGGGGTTGGTGGAGGGGGAAGGGAGAGGGAGAGGGAGAGGGGTTTGATTAGGAAACTGAAAGAGGTTTGACGACCACGACGACGACGACGACGACGACGATGACGACGACGACGATGACGGCGACAACCACGATGACGAGTGGGCGCCTTGGAGTTCTCGTGGGCCGTCTTGGAGGCGCCTTGGGGGCCTTTTGGACCGTCTGGAGGCCGTCGTGGGGCCGTCTTGGAGGCCTCTTGGGCGCTCTTGGGGCCATCTTGGGGGTCTCTTCGGCGGCACTGGGCCGTCGGCAGGCCGAAAACGTTAAAATCCATCAAGAGCCCACGGGAAATCAGCTGTCTTGGCCTCTTCGGGCCTTCCTGCAGGTCCCCTTGGAGGCTTCTTGGACTGCATTAAAAGCCTCTTGGGGGCCTTTGGGGCCGTCCTGGGCCATCTTGGGGCCATCTTGGAACGCCTCGGTTGCATCTTGGGCCGTCTTGGAAACATATTGGGGCCGTCTTGGGCTCTCTTGGAGCGATCCTAGCCGCCTTGGAGGCATCTTGGTGGCCATCTTGGGCCATTTGGGCCGTCTTAGTGGCGATGTGGCCACACCTTCTGGTCCTTCCGAGGGCAGGCGGTCTGGGCCGAAGGCCACTGGGAAGGGTTTGAAAATAAGAAGAGCAGCAAAATGTCTGGCACGCCGTCCACCCCCGTGGCAAGCACAGGGGGCGGCCGATCCAAGACGCCTACGGCGAATCACCGCCGCCCCCAGCCTTTTTGAGAAGCGCCTATGTGGCCAAACGTTGGGCCCCAGCTTGGCCAAGCTATCTGATTATGTATTCCCCCAGCCGCTCCGGAAACTCTTCGGGGAACACTTGGGGGAGGCTGAGGGGGAGGATCAGGAGAGAGGAGGAGGAAGAGGAGGAGGAGGAGGAGGAGGAGGAGGAGGCCTCTTGGGAGCCTCTTTGGGCACTCTTGTGGGGCCTCCTGGAGGCTTCCCGGGGGCCTCTTGGAAGCCTCTTGGGGGCCTCCTTAGGCCTCTTGGGGGCCGTGGGGGCGTCTTGGGGGCCTCTCCTTGGCCGTCTTGAAGCGTTCCTGGCCCGTCTGACGGGTCTGACGCCGTCGGAAGCCATCTTGGGGGCCTCTTTGAACCGATGTGGGGTCCTCTTGAGGCGCTTCAGGGCCGTCTTGGAGGCCATCTTGGGCGTCTTAGAGGCCTCTTGGGGAGGAGGAGGGGGAGGAGGAGGAGGAGGAGGAGGAGGAGGAGGAGGAGGAAGAGGAAGAGGAAAAGGAGGGGGAGGGGGAGGAGGAGGAGGAGGAGGAGCAGGAGGGAGGAGGAGGAGGAGGAGGTTGAGGAGGAGGAGGAGGAGGAGGAGGAACAGGAGGAAGAGGAAGAAAAGGACCTGGAAAAGCAGGCGAAGAGGGAGTAGGAAGAGAAATAGGGAGGAGGACCAGGAGAAGGAGGCAGGGGGCAGGAGCGAGGAGACACAGTCGGACAGCGAGAGACAAAGTCGGAGCAACCCCAAACCCCCAGAGTCTGGGGGCGCCCAAGAGTCTGACCAGCACCTTTTTCAGATGGCGTGGAGAAGCGACTCCGAGAATCTCGATATACAGCTTCAGACCTAACCGGGGCACTTCCGACGCTTTGTTTCTGGCACGCCGCCTAATCGACGCAACACTTGAAGATAAGCATGGGGCATTGCTCATACTTCTGTTAGACTGGAGCAAGGCGTTTGATCGAATCAATCCCGACGGGCTGCTGCACGCATTGCGTCAATTCCAAATACCTGCGGCTATGATCGATATGATTCAAGGTATATACACAGCGCGGAAGTTTGTTGTGCGAGAAGGGCAGACACATCCTCACAATGTTCGCAAAATGCTGGCTGGCATTACTCAGGGCTGCCCTTTATCCCTGTACATGTTCATAATCCTCATGTCTGTGCTGATGGTAGCCGTGGACAACACGATGAACAACAACGCAGGAACGTGCACCAAAAGCTATCTTGTTACCCGGGACATCTTGTATGCCGACGACACAATGCTTCTTGCCGACAAGCAGGAAGCATTGCAGCGCAATCTGGATCTCGTGGCGAAGATTGGCAAAGGATTTGGGCTGGAATTGAACGAATGGAAAAAGTATTTTGATGAGGATCCGATCAGATGCTCCCATATTCGGCCTGGAGGCGAAGAGATCCAATGCAAAAATCATGCAATGTATTTGGGAGGACTTCTTAGCTCCGATGGGAACCCACACACTGAACTTACAAGGCGACTCGGGGAAGCGAAAGGTGCCTTCCAACAGTTCTGCACTGTATGGAACCACGCGAATGTGAGCCGACAGAAGAAAACAAGAACATTGGAAGCATGCGTATTTCAAAACTACTGTACGGTCTGGAATCATGTCTGTTACTATCACGTGATCTGGATCTACTCGACGGCTTCCAGGCGAGGTGCCTCCGGAGAATCTACAAAATCCCGCCGGCGTTTCAAATGCGAACGACAGCACAAGCACAAAAGCTATCAATTGTTCTATTGCAGCGGCAATTGAAGTACTACGGTAAACTGGCGAGGTCTCCTTCGACGGCATGTCCAAAGACAGTGGTACTTGAGCAGGGGCCCACGCTTGAGCTTGTCCCCCGGAAGTGGAAAGACATCCTTCGCAAAAGAGGACGACCACGATTACAATGGACAACTTACATGCACGCCCGGGCTCTGAGCGCAGCGGGGAACGATTCGGAACGTTTACAGGATTGATTGCAGTCCACGCAGTGGGACGCAGCAGTCGATCAGTACACGCAGACATTATGAGTGTGTGTTGCCTTCTGTGCCTTTTCCTTACCCTCCCTCCCTCCCTCCTTCCCTCCCTCCGCCCCTCCCCCGGAATGCTGCGCAGGTTTCCCTCGCACTTCGCTGATACAAAGGAGACAACGATTTCACCGAGGCACTGTGCAGCTGTTAGTTTGCATGTTCGTGCACGCCTCCCCACATGTATGTGTATTCAGGATTGCCGAATCTTTTGCCGATGCGCCGTCTAGGCGCGGCCTTTTCCGCTCCATTCCTGGGAGCGAGGAATTGTCCCACCTGCCTGCCTCCCCTTCCCTGCTCACTCCTACGCCCCCTCCCCTCCAAGGAGAGAAACACCTCACGCTCCGTCCCCGGCGGACGAGAGAGCAGGCGAGAAAAGCAGAGGTAGAACCTGCACTGGACGGTGACGAAGAGGGCATATAGGGGGACCGGGGATAGAGGATAGAGAAGGGGAGCAGGAGGTACTTTATCTGGCCCCGCGCCATCGCATGAAGCTGTTCACGGCCCCCCCCATGACCAGGCTGCCGAAGAATACAAACATCACGGCGCAGCTGGTGGGGTCGACATCCTTCTGGGGAGCAGCGCAGTGAGCCGACCACGTAAGGGAAGGTACGAAGGATGAGGGAGAAGAGGAGGAGGCGGAGGAGGAGCAATGTTCCCTTCCCACCAGGACCCTAGTTCAGACTTTACATGGTACGTGACGCAATGACAAGCACATGGGGTCACGATCGTGATAAGGCAGCCTGGAATGGTTGGCTGGCTGGGTTGGTTTTGAAGGGGCCCTGGGACACACAAATAAATACACACACACATAAAATGGTTCCCCATATTTTCTCGTATTTTCTGGGTTTCTGTCTTCCAGCCCAATTCCCATATTTTCCCATATTTTCCTGGGACTCGACGATTAATTGTGCCTGTGTGTTTCTTTCCCTCCTGAGGTTTGGCAGACTGAAATGGCTGGGGCGGAAAGGATGAGAAGGCTTCCGAAACCGTTTGAACAATGAATGGGCTGGCCGAGTCAGCTGGGACGACCAGGCCAGCAATTCCGGCTGGGCCAGCTTGGCTGGCTGGTTGGCTGGGAGGGCACCAGAGGAGTTTCCAGAGCAGAAGAGGCCTCCAAACTTGGAAGCCCAAGCTGGCCAGGCCGGCCAGGATGGCTAGACTGGCCGGTTTGACTGGGCTGGCTGAGAGTGCTGGGACAGCGCATGCAACGCAGAGTAAAGCAAAGCAGGAGCACAGCCACACCATGCAATGCACAATACGACACCATGCGACTGTAAATACACAAGGCCAAGTCATGCAGTGCAACTAAAAGCCGTGCAACGCAAGGAACTTCATAGCAAAGTAATGACACTCGACACAACGCAATCTACGCCAACGCACAAGCAAAGCAACGCAATGCAAAGCAGCTCAAGGCAAGTCAACACACGAAAAGCTAAGCAAAGCAAGGCAATGCGATACACTACACCGCGCCGCGACAGACTGGACAAGAAAGCAACGCAACTCAGATCTAAGTTAAGTGAAACAATGCCATAACGTGTGACAGATGGATCCTTTTGTGCCCAGCCTGGAGCTCCAAACTTCAGATGGATTGCAATATGAGATATAATCTAAGAAACACATTGTTGATATCACGCCAGGTTCGTTCTGAAAGATCTGCGCGGACGTGCAGATCGAACCCGTAGGAGTTACCACGCTTCGAAAGGGGCAAGTAGGCATTGAGCTCAATGCCTCTCGGTCTGCCCCTGGGCCAGACTTGGAACTTAAGCCACAGCGGCTTTAGCAACATCTCCACCGGAATAGAAGACAAGAGGAGAAAGGAGAAGGAAGAGAAAGGAGGAGGGAGAGGACCCAGAGGAATAGGAGGAGGAGGGCGAGGAATGTCAGGAGGTAACACGGCGGACCTAGCATCCGACGCTTGCGGGAGGGGGGAAACAAAAAAAAAAAAAACGTTGGCGAGGTACCCACCCCTCGCATCTGCCATGACGGACAACAAGGGCGCGGACAGGGGCTCCCTGCGACGCCCGAAGTGTGCAACGAACGAACGAACCACCAGAGCGGACAAGCGCCTGGGCCTCGCAAGACCAGACAATTGAAGCCGCAGCCTCGAAATACTGTAGTGAGCGTGTGTATGTGTGTGCGTTGAGATAAACATGCACGTGAGACATACAAAAACTATGTTGGGCCAGGGAGGAGGAGGAGGAGGAGCAGTCCTCGCAGTCGGTGTCGTCGTGTTTCGGCGGTGCCGCGTAGCTAGGTGGAGTCGGCGCTGGTGGTCTGTAATGGAATTGGTGCTGTTTCTGGCGCAGGGCACCGGTAGTCTGCGCTTGGGTTTCACTGGTCGGTGTTTGTGGTCGGGTGGTCGGCTCTGTCAGTGCTACCACGGTGTGGGTATGTGACAGCTCGTATCGTCATACAGTAATCATGACGAAGGCGCTCTCGAGTGAGTTCCACCATGTCGTCTTTGTCGCGGCTGCGAACCATCTCACGTCGCTGGTGTCGCGATGGGGGCATTGTGGTAGTTGGACAGCGTGGTTGGTGGTGCGTTGTGGGCTATCTTCGTCAACATGCCGACGCACGCCGTGCAGAAACTTACGTATATCATCGTCCAAATGTGTGCTGTCCGCCGTGTTGTCCATACCCCGGTTGCTCTGTGTCCGACTTCGGGTTCAGATGCAGTGCTCGCTTCGTCCACCTGTTGAGTGCGTGGGAATGTGCGTGTGCTGCCCAGCGCCAAACCAGTTTGCGATGCCACTGTGTTACGCCTGGGATGTCGCGTAATCTCATGAGTTCCTCGGCTCTGCGGTTTCTCCCGCGGATGTAGTCAGACCATAGCTCGGCATCGTCTGCCGCCTGCCACTGTGTCTGAGTCGCTTGAGGCGCGTCGATGCTGACCTCACTTGCTTTGGGGTGGACGGAGTCGGCGGGTTGCGTGATGCGTCGTTGTCGATGGAGTCGTCGCCGTCGAGGTCGTGCTTGCAAAAGTTGGGGCGACGTGCGCTGGAGATGCTGCTGTCGGGCGCCGCCGGGAGCACTCTCCTGGGGGCGGGGGCACACTCCTGGGGGCGCCCGACAACGGCCCTGGCCAGCCGTCGTTGCGTGCGGCGTAACATTTGCTCGACGGCGCTGCGCCGTGCATCATCGGTGGGTACGATGGTGCTGCGGTAGAGTCGCAGTCTGCGATTGACTGAATAGCGCCTGCTCGTTACTTTTTGTTCTGCGCCCGGTGAAGCACGCCCATGCAGCCCGTATGCGATGCTGAATCTGAGTCGCTGAGGCGGTTTGGAATGTCACGGTTTGGCCGAAGTGAGGGCGGGAGCGCAAAACGCAGGGGAGAGAAAACGAGGACCCAACACTGTAGTAGGGTTGGGGAAAAAGGGAAGAGGGCCAGAATCCCAAGCGGAAGACGAGATCATGCACGAAGCGAAACGCTTGGCAAAAATGCAGAAACCATACATAGATGCACTAGAACCACGCGCGCTTCGCGCGCACAGGCCCCAGTCGACTCCGAAACTGCTGTTTGTGGGCATAGCGAACATCCCAGGATACTGTGGAACAGGCACCCCGGGCGCGCACTGTCTTTCTCTCGCGGGCGCGCGGAGCCTCTTGGGGGGCGCGTCGCGGTTCAGGGCGGTTGCGGGGCCGACGGAGAGCGCCGCTGGGCGCATCGGAGCCCTTGGGACCATCTGGGGGGCGTTCGGGGAGCTCCCTGAGGGCCTTTTGGGTATGTTCGGCGGCGTCGTCCTCCCCAGGTCCTCTCGCGGGGGTCTTCGGGGGCCGTATCGGGCCCTCTCGGGGGTCACTTGGGCCGCATCGACGCTATTTTGGACCGCGCTGGAACTCTCCGCGGGCATTCTCGAACCTTCTCTTAGCGAGCTCGACCGCCTCTGTTCCGGCCTGGGGCAGCAGCAGCAGGGCCCGGGGCAGCAAGGGGCCAGGAATAGCAGGACCGCATCGAAATAAGAAACGCACGAACACTAGCCCCCTACTAGGGGGCCCTCTCGGGGCAAAGGGCGGGGGCCCTGGAACCGCGGGCGCTCTTCGCGCGGAGTGGAGCCCGCCCGGGGCGCCCCTGACGCATTCGTTATCGGGCTGTCTTGTATCGGTTCGGGGTGCGTCTGGAGCTTCCAGGGTGGCTTGGAAACCCCGCGTCAACCCGCCGCCCCCGTTCGGGCATGCCTCTTCGTCGTTCTCCTCGTCATTCTCCTCGCGCTCCTCCTGGCCCTCCCGCTTCGGCTCCTGCCCCCCGTTCTCCTCCTCCTCCTCCTTTGTCCTTTGTCCTCCTGCCGCCCTCCTCTTTCTCCTCCCCCCTGCCGTCCTATTATGTTCCCCCTGCCCGTTTCCCTCGGGCAGCGCCGCGGCGCGCGCGGCGGGCAGCGCTTGTCGTGCCTCCCCTCCTCCGCCTCCTCCTCGTCCTCCTACTCCTCGCCCTCCTCTTCGTCGTCCTCGCCGTCGCTTTCGCCCTCGTCCTCCCCCTGCCCCTCTCCCCCCCTCCTCCTCCCAGGGCCAGCGCAAAAAGTAGCCCCAGCAGCAGCACCAGTAGCGGCAACAGCAGCAGCACCGCGGCGAGGGGGAGCGGCCCCGAAAGCCAAAAGGGCCCGAACCTGGATCCATGAAGCTCGAACCTCGACGTGAACCCTCGCGATTTATCCTTCCCGCCTGAGGCGAGGGCACAAGCTTGAGAGGAGGCGAAGGCACGGCTGGCCCTCGCACGCCGCGCGAGTCGGCCACCTCCCCTGGGGAGGGATTCCTGCGCGCCGGCCCCTTTTGGCCCCCCCCCCCCCCGACGACGTCGTCGTCGTCGCCGTCGTCGTTCGCGGCGGCGGCGGCGAGCCGATCCCAGCGCGCGCCACAGCTGCTTTCCCGCTCTGCGCGGGCGTCCCGACCGTCGGCGTCCGGAGGTACGCGGCCCAAGGGGGGTATTTGGAGGGTCCAGGTTTTTGGACGGCCGCGGCGGTTCGAGGATGGAGGGGCCTCTGTGCCCTCATCGCCCCTGCTCGGCTTCCGGAGAACATTTGTCGTAACGGCCAGATCCCATCGGAATTTCGGTCAGAATCTCTTGATGGCTTGTGGGCGTCATGGACGTATCCGGGGCCAGAGACCTCGAAATCCCTGCGTCGACCTCGACGCGCCCACCGCCGTCCTCGTCATCGTCGTCGCCATCGTCGTCTTCTTCAGCAGCACCAGCATGAGCCTGAGCATCATCGTCACCTCCTAAAAAGCATAATTATGATCGTCATCGCCATCATCATCACCAGCATCATCATCATCATCATCATCATCATCATCAGCAGCATCAGCAGCATCACCATGGTCATGGTCATTCTCGTTGTCCCCATCGGCAGCACCATCCCCATCGTCGTCCTCATCATCAGCATCGTCATCTGCATCACTATCGTCAGCATCAGCAGGCCACGAAGGCGACGACCACGAAGGCGATCCCAGGGATCACGAAGCAAGCGCCCTGACGTGGTCGGAGGAAGGAGGGAGCACCAGTAATAGCTTCCCTGGATCGTCCTGGGAAACAATTTTCAGGCCTGTTGGGGGCCGTGATTGGTGCCTCTGGGG